TAAGAATTTTTTTTCTTGTTTTCCTCCTCCAAAAACTAGGTGCATCTTGTGGTCTGGTGCATCTTATAGAGTGAAAAATACGGTATTTAACAAACTGTTTGGACACTGGGCAATAGGAATCCCTGGAGTGTATGTTTACTGCTTCTGCCCTGTTGTCTGGTAGTCCTTGGAAGCACTGTGGTTTTCTCTTCCTTCTTTCCAAGCAACCAGAATGTATTTTTCCTGTGCTGAGTTTGTCTGAGGTCAGATACACCTTAGAAAGTTATTTCTGCACATAAAAGGTAAAGGACCCCTGACAGTTAAGTCCAGTCGCGAACGATTCTGGGCTTGCGGCGCTCATCTCGCTTTACTGGCCGAGGGAGCCGACATTTGTCCCGCAGTTTTCCAGGTCATGTGGCCAGCATGACTTAAGCTGCTTCTGGCGAAACCAGGGCAGCGCACGGAAATGCCATTTACCTTCCTGCCGGAGCGGTACCTATTTATCTACTTGCACTTTGATGTGCTTTCGAACTGCTAGGTTGGCAGAAGCTGGGGCCAAGCAACGGGAGCTCACCCTGTCATGGAGATTTGAACCGCCGACCTTCTGATCGGCAAGCCCTAGGCTCAGTGGTTTAGACCACAGCGCCACCCGCGTCCCTAAGGTAAAGGTAAAGGACCCCTGACAGTTAAGTCCAGTCGCAAACGACTCTGGGGTTGCAGCACTCATCTCGCTTTACTGGCCGAGGGAGTTGACGTTTGTCTGCAGACAGTTTTTCCAGGTCATGTGGCCAGCATGACTAAGCCGCTTTTGGTGAAACCAGAATACTGCTACACAATAAGTGCAGAATCTCCAACCCAAATGGAAAATGCAAAAGGTTAACACTTTACAAAGAATCATAGAATTGTAGAGTTGGAAAAGAGTTCATGTAGTCCAAAGAGACTAAGACATGTCTTCTGCTCTACAGCAGACACTCATTGAGATTTCACTTACAGTACAACACATTATATGTCTACTCAGAAGTCGATTTCTTTGTGTTTGATGGGGTAAGTGGTTACACGATAGCAGCCTAAGGTTTGTTTAAGGGTTGGGGGTTTTTTGAGGGAGGACGGTTCCTGTTGCCTTTACAGCTGTAACTCCACAGTCAAGGTCAATGGGACATTGCTGACTTCCCATGGTCAGAATGGAGTCAGCATGGTGTAGTTGGTTTTTTAAAAGATCATTGTCATGCTTCATTCTCCCCACCAACCACTTTCGGTTTGTATTATTTAGCTCTTGTTACAGAACTTGTTTCTTCCATATTTAACTTCATTGCTGGCAGGGATGAAGTATGGTGCATGGCTCTCATTCTGCTAAGAAAACAAGGAAAGGGGCCTTTATTCATTCATCCATTTTTTTTTCCTGGGAAGCGTGCCTTGATGTTCTGATTTCAATCCTGAGAAGAAATGGTTACAGTGACATTTCTAGACTTTATAATATGATAGAATATTTTGACATAATTGAAGGTGTTCCATTCCTTTGAAAATAGCCATGCCCTGTACCTGTGAGAAGTTAACAAAACACCCAGGTAATTTAAACTGTGCTGGTAAGTAGAACAATACTCTATTCCAACAGAAATAATTAAATCAGAGCAAGATGACCTTGGCATCATGTTATTTTCCTGTTGATTTCTTAAGTATCCGAGGAAGACTTGGAATAAAGAAATAAGCTCTGGAACCTCTACTGGAAGATGCATAGTCTTTGTACAGTTGTAATAAAGTGAGCATTAAAACTTTTGTTTCAAACAATTAAACTGTATTGAATAGCATAATAGGAAATTCTGGAGAAATAATTAGTTATGCATGCTATTTTGATTTGAAAAACTTTTATAGAGGTTTATAGACCACAGATATAATTTTAAAATGACAAATCAAATAAATAAGCACTTTAATGTTCTTGGATAGGAAAACATATCATGGGAATAAAAACTTCTCATCTGCAGTTCCTGATGTATTTGGAATTGTGTAGTGCTTTCGTTCATTAATGAGAACTTCATTGGATTTTATTTAGCGATAAATTGGCTTCAAAAATGGTAACATATGGTTCTGCCTAGGTAGAATAAAACTGTGGCTGTGAAGTAAATTGCTGGCATTGGTAAAATGGGCTAAAAGGCTGCATTTGGTTTTCAAGTAGAGCTGTTTGGAGTCAAAGCTGCAAAGTGAACTTTCTTGCACAGGCAATTCTCAACTTACACTGGGGTTACATTTTGGGGATAGTGCATAAACTCAAAATCGCATATAGTCAAAGCACATGGAATTCCTGGATGTCTGTCCTCTATCTATCTATCTATCTATCTATTTTATTGCCAAGTGCATAAAGCTGAATGCGCACAAGTTAAATAAATGTAAGTTGTCAGTTATCTGTACCCTAAAACCTTGGTAGGAAAAAACCCAATACTTTTATGATAGCACTGAATGACCATAAACCATGTATCTTGTTCTGAACTGCTGTACTTGACTGTTTTGTCTCCTTGCTTTTAAATTGGTGGTACCTTTTGAAGGAGAGAAGTCAGACTCTATGTTTTAGATAAATTAATTTATTAAGCCAACAGTAAGTGTCTTACAGTTTTTTACTAACAATTAAATAATTTATACCATACATTATTTATAATGGAAAGGTTGGGTCTCCTGAATTGAAGAGAAGTGTGGTTTAATCTTTTTTTTTTTTTTAAGTGAGCAGATTGGACCTCGTTAAAAGGCACAATTGAGAGATCTAAATTTGAGGCTGATGAGTTAGGTTTTTGTGTTCCCTTTCGTCCAAATTTAGCAGTTAACTGTCTTTTAATATAACAGTGAATTAACCTTATTGGGTAGCGAATGAACGCTGAGAAGCAAATAGAAAAAAATCATATCTAAGGTTACGTATAATTTATTCCCTATAAATATTGATTTTGAGCCAAACTTCATGGACAGTGTTGTCTGAATGCCATGCATTTAATCTCCTGTGAATATATTGACCTAGGAGTCACTGTACTGAAGACGGTTGAGCTACCACAGCCGTTTTTATTTCTCTTGGTGAATTCTCCAGCCCTCAGCATGTATAATTAAGACATGCTAAAAATGGTTTTCTATATGGAGGCAAACAGATAATACAAGAAAAGAGAGTGCTTAGGGAAGATCCTTGAGGAGCAATAAGTTTGAAGAAACAATAGCTGCTTCGTTTACCAACAAGCAATGTAGGGGGAGTGAAGACATCTCTTATATCTTGTTGATTGGAAGAGAACTGACTGATATTCTGTCATTTAGTATACTAAGCACTCATCCTGCTGTATATGGTAAGGATGTGTGTACCACCACATCTATTCAGTTTTAGAGCTTTTGAGAAACTTAATGACTTCTCACAGCTGTCCATGGAGGCACAGGTCAATTCTGTGTCCAGGGCAGCTGTTTACCAGCTCCATCTGGTACACAGGCTGAGACCCTATCTGCCTGTGGACAGTCTTGCCAGAGTGGTGCATGCTCTAGTTATCTTTCCCATGGACTACTGCAATGCGCTCTATGTGGGGCTACCTTTGAAGGCGACCTAGAAATTACAACTAATTCAAAATGCGGCAGCTAGACTGGTGACTGGGAGTGGCCACCGAGATCACATAACACCGGTCTTGAAAGACCTACATTGGCTCCCAGTATGTTTCCAAGCACAATTCAAAGTGTTGGTGCTGACCTTTAAAGCCCTAAACAGCCTCGGTCCAGTATACCTGAAGGAGCGTCTCCACCCCCATCGTTCTGCCCGGGTGCTAAGGGCCTTCTGGCGGTTCCCTCGAGAGAAGTGAAGTTACAGGGAACCAGGCAGAGGGCCTTCTCGGTAGTGGCACCTGCCCTGTGGAATGCCCTCCCACCAGATGTCAAAGTGAAAAACAACTACCAGACTTTTAGAAGACATCTGAAGGCAGCCCTGTTTAGGGAAGCTTTTAATGTTTAACAGACTATTGTATTTTAGTATTTTGTTGGAAGCCGCCCAGAGTGGCTGGGGAAACCCAGCCAGATGGGTGGGATATAAATAAATTACTACTATTATTATTATTATTATTATTATTATTATTATTATTATTATCATTATCATTAAGACTGAAGATTATCAGTACTTGTTTTTATGCCTGTATTGTTGCAGTAGATACTTTCAATTACCATGTTTTATATATGTGGGGAATAGTGCCATAATTTAAAATTTTAGAACAATGCATAATTTTAACGATTAGAGCAATATCTGAATTATAAAACCTGCCGTGAGTATGCAATGGCTATAGTATTATATTTTTATGGATTTTAGTTGCATTGCTAATCTTAAAATATGAACATTAAAATTAATAGAGGAATTGCATAGAGAAATAACCTTAGTGCTTCTTGTTTTTTATATAGATTTCAGCAGCAATTGTATAATTAACCAACTTTCATTTTCCCTGCTGGTATTGTATATCATAGGGTCTCCCAAACTTGGGTGTCCAGCCGTTTTTGGGCTATAATTCCTATAATCCCTGACCACTGGTCCTGCTAGCTAGGAATGATGGGAGTTGTAGACCTAAGACTGGGAAACCCTGGTACAGTGTATCCCTTCTTTCAGGTCCTGCAGTATTTATTAAACTAAAGTTACTGGAAAATTATTAATTTAAATTATTGTCCTTAGACCAGTATATGAACAATTGTTGCATATCTATATCTGAAATTAATTAATTTTGTAAGCCATTTGTGATGTGGATTTGATGGCACTATCATTTTTGGCTTTCTGCTTTCCTGAAATACCCACCTTTATATATCATTTGTCTTCCAGAGGCTTGAAACATTTTATTTCATTGATTTTTAAGTCCCAGCATGACAACAGTCTTGAAACCACTTGATCTCTGGTCAATTATTCATCTGCTATACATAGTAAAGAATGTATGAAATAAATAGCGTGTGAAAAAGTTCAAAATATGGGATGTGGTTGGTTGCCATAATGGGAAATACTGATTGATGTAATGAATTTCATTTTTCTTTACTTTTTCAAGCTGGACCTGTGATCTGCAGAATGCTGACCTATCCTCCAACTCGAAGAGAGTTAATAGTGGGCTGTGGTCTACAAATGTTCCAGCAACTGGCAGGTATTAACACAGTCATGTATGTATCACTTTTTCAACTTTGGTTTTTTTATTTAAAAAACATGTTTCATTTGGTACAACAGAAAATAGACAAAAAGCTTTCAGTGACATGTATATTTTTCAGATAGTATAGAGGGCGAGGGGTGACCAGTAGAGAAAATGTCAGCAAGCCCAGAAACAATGGAAATAGTATAAAGGTGATTTATAAATTGACAAACTCCACTTGTAAGAAACTCTCCATTTGTTGCAATAAAGCACAGTGCAGGAAATCTTGTCATATTAATTTGAGATGTTTGGAGATACTGTTGTAATTGTTACCCAACAGTGGCAACTGTTTAAGTTTATATATACATTCACATCACATGTAATAATATTTTCTAAATTTAATAATAACTTTTCTACTGTTTACATTGTTCTGTAGATTCCTGTGGTTTTCTGTTTTTCATATCCCTGGGGACCTTCTCCTTTGTTTTAGATGTGTGCTTTTCAAATTTTGCATGAAAATGCATTGTCAACTGCATTTAGACTAATGTTCAAGGTAACAGAGCAGATTTTTCTGCAGTGCGCCTATTTAAGCATGCTTCCCTACGAGCCGAAACAAAATCCACAAAGTGTAGGACTGGCATCAAATTACTTTGAAAATGTGATGTGTGCATATGGTAAATGAGAAAATATCTGAAGTTTCTGAGGAAAAAACACAGTTGGAGTAGGTCCAAATCTTCTTTCTTTCTTTTTTTGGAAGTATATTGAAACCCTGTAAGATTTATGGTACTCATTAGCTGACTTTGCTTATCCTAAACTTACAGATGTGCTTAGATCAGAAACACCTTACCAAGCAGTAGTTTTTGCAGACTGTGAATGGAACAGATCTAGTTGACAATGAGGAAGTGGAGAAGGGCGGAAGTTACTGCGAAAAACCTCTTAAATTCTAAAATGCTCTGGTGTGGATTTATTAAGTAAATCTTTAGGCACCAAGTATTAGAAACACACAATTCAGTGTAAATTGATTTCCCTTCAGTTTGTTTTTTGGTGTTTGAGATACAGACATACACAAATGTATGTTAGGGGACTCGCACTGTGAAATGCTTTGATTGAAAACCTGTCGCCTTGCTAGATATGAATCGTAGTGTATGACAGCAGACTGCTTGGTAACCTTCAGCACATTCTATGACCTATACATTTTAATGGCTTACTAACCTAAAGATGCAGCGCTGCACACATTTAGCCTTCTGCCATATCTTTTCCAGCTGACTGTATTTTAAATGAGAGGACCATGCTAGCAGTGTGAACCATCACTTTTTTGTGGCTGGTAGGGAGGGAAATGTGCTAAACAAGGTTTTTCCATGTGCAGCGGTTGAAGAGTCTGGTCTCATATTTACTACATGTTTTGTACAGAAGGGTCATAGTTCAGTGGTGGAGAATCTGCTTTCCATATAGAAGCTCACAGGCTGGGAAAGTTTCCTTTTTGGAAACCTTGCACAACTAGCTGCCAGTCAGTTTAAGCAGTGCTGAGCTAATGGACCGACGGTCTCAGCCTGTATAAAGCAGCCTCCTGTGTTCCTATATACTACTTTTTGTTTGCATTTTTATAACAGTGACTTGTGATCTGATACAAAGGAGGAAAATAAGCAAATTCAGGTACTAATCCTTTCATGCTATTATGTAATGAAGTTACATAACAACCAGCTGGAATAGCAGCTGATGGAGACGGTTCTGATAGAAGAGGAACCAAATGGCATTTGGACCCAGCTGAGCTGATAAAGGAGGACTAACTGTTTCTTTTCTGTCAGTTGCAACCAAGTGGAAGATTCAGAGAGCCCGATATTACTGCGCCCTAAATCCTAATTGAACTCTGACTCCATTAGTTTGCCTGCAGAACTTTTACGATCTTCAAAATTTATTATTGCTCATTTTATGCCTGCTGATTGTCACTGGTGTGGCGAAAGTGTGTTGAGAACTTGGGACTGGGCTAACATCCTTGAATGTAGCTCCATAACCCTTTCTAATATCCCTGCACAAAGAAGGGTTACAGCCTAGGCTTCTTACTGTGATATGGTGTAGCAGTCAGAGTGACACCAGAAATGACAAGGTTTAAGGCTCCACTTGATAGATGACGTGGGGCCAATAATTCTCTCAAATGAAGGTGCTGTGCTCCTTGGAAGAAGCGCAGGACAGCTCCGCCCCACCCCAATCTCACTGACAGATGCAGTGATTTTTATGTGGACGGGCATCATGTAAGCTTATATCTGCAGCCTAGCTGGTGGCATTGCTATGTGAACAAAGTCTTAAATAAGTTTAAAAACAAATAAATGGGAAAAGCCATAGGCAAAATCTAGTCTGTTTTGGGAAGGGTATTGGAGAGAGGAAACTCCCGACTTACAGGACAGTAATTGTCATTCTAATGGTGGAGGTCATTTAGAAATTGGTATTGCAGACTTGCATCCTCATAATGTGACACTTGATCGTGGGGATTCAATGATAGGAAGTATAATTGAAAACTGTAAATCAGAGTGAGGATATTCAAATGTCAAATGACTAGGAGATTAAATGACCTGCTGATAAACTCTAACAAAATGATGTTGCATGAAATCATACAAAATTAGTAGAAATTAGTAGGAATGTTGTACTTATAACCCCAAGAAACTGATAAGTCTTAAATATAAAAACTATCAGTTATTTTAATGATTACATTTCAGACAATATTTTTGTGGCTGTGAGATCTGTGTAAGAATTCAGTAGTATTGCAGACTTAATAATTTTGCTTTGGGAGAAATGTATCTTGCTGGTGTCTTTGTATTCTTCTCTGTTCCTATTTTTAAGCCATTTGTGTGAGTCTTTCACAGTCCAGCCATTTCTCCTCCTTGATCCTGCCAGGAAGTCATAGTACTATTTGATTTCAGCCTGTTGCCTTGGTAATAACTGTAATGTCACAAATTCAGCATTATAACTTCACTGCACGATCAAAAAGCTGTGAGTGTGTGCTATGTGGGAGAGAGCCCAAAGGCTTTGTTGTAATACACAGCTTTGATAATTAGTAAAACTGAGAGAGAACGGCTTGCTTTTTTCAAACATAGCAGCCTGCCAGATCTGAGGTGCTGAAATTCATCTCCATTTAAAAAAAAAAATGTAATGTTCAGTCAATTGGTTTCCCTTTCACAATATTCCTATGCATCCTTCCCACCATTCATCAGATATTTGTTGATGTTTGGAAGAATACATAGCCAATTTTATCTCTATCAAGAGCAAGGTATGGAAGGTAGGTATGTTTAAAAACCTCATTGTCACTTAAGTCACTTTAGTCTTCCGTATTTAAATGCACACTTGATGTAAGCCAAATTCATAAATTTGTTAATGAGGTTGTGCAGGAGATTTCTTGGGCTCGGTTCTTGTACGTTTTGAAAAACACTGATCAATCAGGATGTTTACTCAATTGTTCATCTTGGAGTTGGAGCTATAAATACTGCACCTTATACAACCCATTTTTCCTTTAAAAAAAGGGGGGGGACACGATTTGCCTTGAGGTGAAATCTTTGGAAAGATGGTCAGTGTGAAATCTGACGATGGTTGGCAGGAATTGAACGCAGCCCTTGTGTAATATCCTGCTAAAGTTATTATAGCAAATGGCACCATGTCTTGCACTTTGTGGATTTTAGTCACCGTTATTTTGAGAGCGTCAAAACAGGTTCTGCTGGTGAGAGACTGACATATCTAGGTAACCAAACTCAGTTGGAGTTTAACAAGAAACAATCTCACACCAAGATTAAGTGAGTGGGCAGGACTTGATGAAAAAGAGTCGCACCTGTGACATGCTCTCCTCCCCAGGAGGTCCTTTGAAAATAAGGTCTTTTATCTTCTGACTGAGGTGTACTTTCCAATAGGAGGCAACTCCTTTATATATTTTATAAAATGCGTAGGCAGTTAGCAGAAGTGACTTGCTATATCAGTTGGTCCAAATAGGTTCCAGTTTATTTTAATGCACGTTGTGCATTAAATTAATAGTCCACAAATATTTGTTTATTTGTTTGACGACTGTGACAACCCACAGTTGGACTTTTCGTATTAACTGAACCTTCTCACTTCTAAGACTTTCCTTCAGTATTGCTCTACAACGACAATAGCAAGATGAAAGGGATACTGGATCAGGGACGCGGACTTATAAAAAATATTGGGGGGGCCCGGGAAAGCTCATGAATAATAAATAAGCTCATGAATATGCAAATAAAGTGGCGCCGCCTCCTCGTGAGCGAATAGGGGAGAGCGTGCTGCGCCTATTAATCAGCTCCAAAGGAAATTGGGTGGAGCTTTTGCTCGGGAGGGAGGGCAGGAGGCATGCAGCCCGCCCCTCCCTGTGCATTTTGGGCTGGGGGAGGGGCGGCGATGGCGCTCTGCTGGAGGGGCGCCGGAGATTATTGGGGCGGAGCCCCCCCAAACGAATTTTTGAGGGGGCTCGGGCCCCCTCAAGCCCCATGGAGTCGGCGCCTATGTACTGGATCCATTCAAAAATTTGACTAAAATATGATAGAGGATAGTGCCCCTTGTGGTATTTTGTATTCTTAATGCTTCAACAAAATGTTGCCTGTAGCATTTCTTTATTCTCCCCACCCCTCGGTGCAATATATAAGCTGGCTAACACCTTTTGAAGAATATTAAAGCTTAGCTAGAAATGACAAAAAAATATTATTCTTGCACAAGAAACCAAATTCCCTATCCAGCTTGGGAACTGCGTATCTTTCTAATCTACTCCTGAAAGGCATCTTACCTATCAGTTCTCCTGAACAAGAAGTAGGAAGAGCTCTCTTTACATATCTCTTACATGTGATCTGATAGCTTATGAATAGTCTCTGAGAAGGTACCTGCTTGAATAGCAAGGTATAGAGAGTCTGGGGAGGAAGGAATATCGCTCCTCTATGCCAACTCTGCCCCAGCTTCTGCCAACCTAGCAGTTCAAAAGCATACCAGTGCAAGTAGATTAGTAGGTACCACTGTGCGCTCTGGCACTCATCACGGTCCTCTTTGCAG